CTGAATACATTTTATGTTTTCCGCTATGATCTTACGTTAGATAGAGAAACAAAGTCTGTCTGCTCGCACTCGCGATCCACAGCGGCGCTGGACTCGATATCTTCATTCTTCAGGCTCAAAATCTCGCACCTCAGAATTTCTGAATAGAAGTACCAAAAAGTGGGATTCTATTCATAGCGGTGCTCTTGTGAGAGACTGAAAGGTGCTTAGAACCATGCAGGTCTTTTCGAAGACAGATGGAAAAGTAAATAACGGTAGCTGCAGGGATCCGTGATCGAACAAAGATTGCAAACTAGCTGACACTCATGGCAACTAGCTTGCAGCCTCAGTGCACTAGGTTACCGAAACTTCTTCCGGGGAGCCTTCTCGTTGAATGCCCGACTTACTCCCAAACCGAGAAGTATGCAGTACATTCCCCATCGCCATGTCATGTCTTCCTCCGCTCCTTCGCAAAACATCTTTAGCATTAGAGATTTTTCACAACCGACTGACATCCTGAAGATGGGAGATCGCCATCTGAATGCTGCGATGTAATTCTCTCAAATCTCCACCTCGTATCCTCAACAAGAACATTAATTACGCTTGACGTATTGTAAACAATTTGATGTAGACGTCACGACGCACAAGACGAAGCTCACGAGCCTGAATGAGCTCGATCGGTTATGAACATCCGGTCGACCCTGGTCTGCTGACATCGGGGCTTGTTCCCCGCTACGGATGCGAACCTCGTCATAGCCTTTACTAAGTCGTCCGTATGCAAATCAGATGATCTTCGAAGCCTTTGTTCTCTGCTGGCTACAGTCCCGACATGCTTCTGCTTGTCTGCGATGGCCGCTGACACGATTCCGAAGCAAGCACGTCCGAGCGAGCAGCTCCGGCCTCGTGGACCTGGACCTGACTGAGCTCATGCATGGAGCAGGAGCAAGCGCATGTGGAGGCCACCTCTTCTCTCGTACATGCAGTACATTGAATTCTCATTTCAACCCGCTTACATCATCATCGCAATTCTCACTTTCCTCCACAAATGAGCCTGAGATTCAAATCAGTTTTCGGCACGATTCCAGAATTCGACAACACCCTTTTCAGTCTCGTCCTGAAACTTGGACTGGAAACACTTTCTTCTCGGCATTGCTTTGTACAGGTTTCCTTCACAACCAAGTGTTGCCGTGGCAGTCGAGGCTTGTAGACGAGTGACCTTCCGGCTTTCGGAGCTACCGATTCCTCATTCGCCCGATCCATGCGATGAACGTCCTTAGGCCGATGGATGTGAACTTGCCTTCCATGCAGTTCAGTTCAAGAATTGGATGGAGTACTCTTATGACCACGTTTGCTCTCACGTCCACAAAACATCAAAAGCTTCTCTTGAAGAGCTTCCAACATCCATCCAATGTTAATGAAGGGACTATCGCGGTTGATTTGGAAGATTAGTGCGCAACCATATTCTCAAAATGGAATGTTTCTAATGTCAAATATCATTTAAGACATAAGAAACATAATTTTATATAATAATAAAATATAATATGATAGTATCATATACAAGTGGGAGGAGCAATGATGTCAAGTATTTCGATTTCCTTGACTACAATCTTGTAAATATATTTCTAGTGTTAGATCATTAAAAGAGTGTGAATGTTTTCATAATTATTTGTTCGTACAAAAATTATTGCTTACTTATATGGTTATGATGGAATTTGATCATTATATAATAAATGATCAAGAAATAGCACCTGGAATAATGTAATTCATGTGCACATGATTGAACTAGTCAAATTTGAAGTTAAAATCAAATAATTAAACTAATCAAATTTGATAATAGATTATGATGATTGAACTAATCAAAATTGACGTCAAACTCAAATGATTAAACTAGTCAAATTGATAATAGAATATGGTGATTGAGCTAATCAAAATTGATGTTAAATTCAAGTGATTGAACTAATCAAAATTAATAATATATTATTATGATTGAGCTAATCAAAATTGCCGTTAAACTCAAGTGATTGAACTAGTCAAATTGATAATAGAATAGGGTGATTGAACTAATCAAAATTAATAGTATATTATTATGATTGAGCTAATCAAAATTGACGTTAAACTCAAGTGATTGAACTAATCAAAATTAATAATAGATTATTGTGATTGAGCTAATCAAAATTGCCGTTAAACTCAAGTGATTAAACTAATCAAAATTGATAATAGATTATGGTGATTGAACCATGTCAAAATTGACGTTAAACTCAAGTGATTAAACTAATCAAAATTGATAATAGATTATGGTGATTGAACCAATCAAAATTGACGTTAAACTCAAGTGATTAAACTAGTCAAAATTGATATTAAACTCAAGTGATTAAACTAGTCAAAATTGATAATAGATTATGGTGATTAAACTAGTCAAAATTGATAATAGATTATAATGATTAAACTAGTCAAAATTGACATTAAACTCAAGTGATTAAACTAGTCAAAATTGATAATAAATTATGGTAATTAAGCTTATCAAAATTGACTTTAAATTCAAGTGATTAAACTAGTTAAAATTGACAATAGATTCTAATGATTGAGCTAGTTAAAATTGACAATAAATGTAATCTAGGTGATGCGTTAAGTATAGTTATTTCTTTTGTGAGTTTAAGTCAAAACTGTGTTACCATTCAGGTTGTGCATGGGAATTACAGTCAGAGTTTGCAAAGACAATATTTTAAGTTATTTTTTAATATATTTGTTATATGATATAATACTTACGGTTTAGTTCTAGTTAACTCTTGTGTAAATAGATGTTTTGTATAAAAAAAATTTCTTGACCTTATTCAAAGTAATTATAGAAGATACGAGATTTTTATTTCCTCTATGCTGACAGGTTTTTACTTATCTCTTTATATTATTATTTCTATCATGTTATGTCCAAGTTCTAGTTAATTCTTGTGCAAAAACGTAACCTTGCATTGTCTTTTGTTTAGAACTTATCGTAGAATAATAATGTAAATTATGGAGTATATTGTTTCCTTGACATGAGTTAAGGGAGATATTGTTGAGATTAATTTTAGTGAATGAGTAACCTCAGCTCCTAGCAATAAATAGTTATTACGGTCGTCTGGACTAAGATTAAATTATGGAATAAAGCATTGCGTGTTCTGGATAGAAGTAGATTTTTTACTCAGGTTGAACCTCATAGTGTGCATGTTATGACTTCATTTTCTACGTTTTAAGTTCTCTTGGTTAACATTAATATTACGTACATTCTTTATACTTAATCTCATTAGGTTTGATGTGTTCTTCAAATTGTAAATAGGTTTTACTTCAAAATAGCAATGTTCACAATTTTATGAAACATGTGCACAAAATGCTACATAATGACACAAGAAGTTGGTGAGTACTCAAAATTGACAAAAAATAAAGTATAAATATTCATTGTAAACAATTGAACTTTAAGATTATTATGTTTGATAAAAGATGTTTTTACAACCTTTTTTTTTTAATTCACTATTAAAATGCAGCTTGATCAAATACAAGATTTTTGAAAAAAGATATGATTTAATCATCTTTTGATGATCATTATTCACCAAAAAAAACGAAATATTCTCAACTTGCATAAAAAGAAAATTTAAAACTTTGCCAAAACTTGCTTTCTATTTCAAGATACAAAATATATTTCTATTGATTGAGTTTTCATGTACGTCAAACATAATCTATCACAATGTTCAAGATTCAGCATGAACGCAATGAAGTCTCATCAATAATTTATTTGTAATAGTTGTGTTTAACTATGAATATAGTTTTTGAAGATACAACACAAACATCAACATCTCAAACAAGATTAACACATCTGATAGACAGATCACCTAAGTGATATTACATGTGGTAACTACTTTTGGCTAAAGAAATGAAACAAGAAAAAATTAAAGAGTCAAGCTTTTGGAGTATTTTTGGTTTGAATATATTTAGAATGGTTAGAAAAATAATTCTAAATGTTTTTTACTAACTTCGAAAGCAGTGTTTTTAAAAATATAATAGAGTAACTAGGTTTTGACCAAAAATTAATGGTAAAGAGGTAACAACATTGTTTTCAGTCTATTAGATTAATTTTGAGAAAGTTTGTGTTCTTTTAAGATGATCAAGAATTTGATAAAAAATTCACATTCCAATCTTTGGCAATTACAGGAGTATCATGAAGTTCTTAACAAACCTTTTTCAACCAAAAGAGAGTTTAAAACTTTTTTTACTTTTTTTAATTCTAGTTACAGTTTAATTTAATTACTGTTAGTATTTAAACTAGAATCACAAACAATAATAAAACATAAAAAATCAAGTGATAGTTAACACCATGAGTTGAGACACCAATGTACACGAAAAACCTAAGCGTATTGAATGTTTGAGTAATACACAAAGTCTAGGTTATATATGGGCAAACTCTGATCTGAGGTTATTTTTTAACCGAAATTAATCTCAACATTCATGTTTAGGTAAGATTTTACTATTTTAAAAAAATCAAAAATGTGAATAAATTCTAAATTCAAGATATTATTTTTCACAAAATATTCATCAAATCTATGTAAATATAACAAAAAAATACAACATGAATTTATGTCGATGATCATATAAATATCACATGTGGATATGATCTCAAGTTTAGGTTTATTGATTTAGTTTTGAGTAAAATTTGACTATTTCAAAAAGATAAGTACTTTCAATCAAATATAAGATTGAGGTTTATATTAAAAGTTCCTTTTTGGCGATTATTGAATTGTCATAGAATGTTTTGTAATATTTTTCCTATAGTTATTTTTTTTCCAACATGTGCTACATGTGAATTTTACATTTCAAGTCAATTTGCTTGTTCAAAGGGGATCAGGTTTTGATACAAAGATGAAAACATACAATTGATTGTCTGAAAGTTTATATAGATATTTACATTTGGGTTTTGAGCACAAAGATCTGTCTATCCTTTTTTTTATACAAGTTGATGAATTTTTCACAAATGTAAGTTCTGTGTTGATCGGGGAGTTTACGTTCGGTTCGGGAACTTCAGATTTGCTATCACAGTATTTTTCTTTCCAAGAGGCCACAAAACCACGCAAGTCACAGTCCTGTGGTCTCTGAGCGAATAGACAGACCTCGTGTATATAAGAAAGTTCACATCAAGATCAGTCACGTTACATCAGCGTCAATCAACAGCAAGCTCACACAGTTGTACAGGAGGTTCAATTAGACACAAACAATGAAAAGAATCAAACAAATACAACAGACATTGCAATCAAGGTAAAACTAAGACACTGCTTCTCCTACCACTGAAAAATCCGATGTAGAAAATTGATGCCATCGCAATCATCTCGTGGCAGAAGGTGATAAATGTGTGTTATCCAAGTGGGAAAGCACAGCGGCTCCACCCCACTTCTCAACAATGAAATGATAACTCTATGTTACATAACCTAATGGTTGGGAGGTAACTGCGACCTCTCTACCAGCATGCAAGATAATTCCTCTGGCACTCAAGGAACCCAATGGGATGGAATATTAAAGTACATATTCTTAGTCCGTGGTTAGATCTCAACTGAGCCAAGTACCCCTAAGGGATCCCTAACACTACGCAAAAAGTTGAAACCTGATAGTGGTGACATAGGGATGTCAAGAGATGACATTCCTATATGAGACAAGCTCCACAAAAGAGGAGGGTATAGATGGTCGAGCTAGCCAATGACCACCACATACCTTTGACGCAATGAAAGGTAGCATTATGAACTCAATCTGTATGTGAACTGCAGTTTCAGGATCCGTCTCAGGTACTTATACTTCCTCCATCACAGGCTAGGCATGCATTTACTAAACGGTCGAAGACCATCCGTTCGATGAACATGCGAAACTTAATCCGCCATCTGTAGAGTGGCGAGAAATCTAGTCACCGTTCCTGCACTTTCCAAAATAACACAAAAACGAACGACTCCCAACAGCAAGAATGGTTCTACTTCCTCCTGGAATGTGAATGTCGCTTCATATCTCCCCTCTGTCGTTTGTCATCCTCCCACTCACGTTCATAAATTCTGCATCGATCTAGTTAAGGGCTTGTTCAAGAATTATACAAATAGCTCACCTGGCATTTGTCAGCATACTCTAACATCATTCATGCGCATCGTATGAAAAGTATTACAAACTGGAACGTGAAAAACCAGCACCCAACGACGCAGAGGGAACAATAAGAAGATATACTTCCTGTCGACAAGTTAGGATGCGCACATGATCAAGCTAAAATGTCAAATACCCCCCTTTTTTTTTTTTTGTTAGCTACAAAGTTCAATGAAATCTGAACGAACGGAGCTACTACTTCCAAAGAAAGAGATTACACATGGCAGGTGCTAATTTCAACGTGTATTATTCTACCGACAAAGTCTCTTCTACCGAAATTAGACAAATCTCTTGGCAAATTTTGACAGTAAGAAACACATAAGAACTCAAATATCGAAGAAATATGCTCCGCTTTGACGGTGCATGAGGATACTGATCGTGTTCCCGGCGAGCTATTTTCGTCTCCTTCCCATGCATCCGACCTCCACCTCCTCCGCCACCTCCAACTCCTCCACCTGGACCCTTATTGTCGTAAGGGCCTTCTTCAACGTAGACGTTTCGTGCAACCACTTTGCGATCGCGTTCTCGCCCTTCATAAACTTGAGCGTTTACCCCAGGAGGTGGTGGAGAAGGGCCAAAATTAGCTTGGAGTTCCGCCGACGGAATATGGTCGCGCTTTAACCTCCTGCGCTTAGATAAGGCGGCACTACCTTCTCCCTCTTCCTTAGCTAAAAAGGCTTTTTCCTTTTCACGCTCTTTCTCTTTCTCTACCTGCATCGAACGTACCACATGGACAGTCAAATTGAAATGAAGAGAGAAAAGAAATCAACGCTCCGAAAGCATGAGAAAAAGTATCTCGAAAGCCAGGCGGAACAGAACCAAGACGCCTCCGACAAGGGAGCTTAATCAAAGTTTGCTTCAATAATAAGTAAGTATACTCTACTGTTCCGCTTTCCTTCGCCACTAAATACTGGGACGAAGACAACAGTACATGGAATGACATTATTTATGATTACGAGTGATTTCGATGCAGCAGATGCATTCTTGATGCAAACTAGAAAGGATCAGAAATGTCCAGTTTGACCCTTATCTCTGAACTGTGGTAGGAAACCTTACTGTAAAGCTGAAACTTAGGTTGTCTCAAACTGGATATATACTTGGACGCAATATTTGCCAATATGCAAAGATGGAGATTTCAAGAGTTGAAAACGAATTCATGCAAACAATCTTCAGCAAACCTTCAATTGAAGCAGATCCCGTTCTTCTCGTTTGCGATCTCTTAGTTCTTCGTCGCGTCTTCTCTTGGGATCCTCGATAGATATCAAATTTACATCTTCTGTTCTCCTCTTCTCATTCTTCTCTTCTCGTCGGGGTGACGACGTCTGCCGTGGAGGATTCCTTCCTCTACGATCTACTTCTTCTTCCCTTCGTGCTGGGTGAACAGTCAGAGGTACAAGATTTGGTGGCAGTGGCGGTGGGGGTGGGAGATTCTGCATTGGAAATCGATCATCAGGATGAGGTTGCGGTTCTGCGGGCTGCGGATCCACATATCTCGGTCTCCCACGATCATCCTTGCCTCGATCATCCCTGATCCTGTCTGGAGCTCGGTCAAAATTCCTATCCATTACTCTATCAGACCCTCTATCTACAGATCTTTCCCTAGTGAACTTCTCAATCGACCTATCTCTAAACCTATCACCTGTATGCTCTTCTCCACGCTCCCGCTCTGATCTTTCCATCATTCGTTCTGCTACACGGTACTCCCGATCCACCCTCTCCCCTCCTCTTTCCTTACCTCGATCTGACCTTTCACCGGGCCTCTCAAAGGGCCGATCATCATATCCTACTCTGTCATGCTCTACAGATCTTGGTCGTTCAGCAGGCCTCTGTTCAACTCTATCACTGCGTTCAGACGTTCGCGGCTCACCAACTTCAGATGTTTTCTCTATCCCATCACTTTTCCTCCTCTTGTTCAACCTGTCCACTGTTTCTTCAGATCCAACTGTCCTTTTGCCTTGCCTCTCTTTGCTGCTTGAATCTTCTACAATTTTCGTAGTCACCGAGTTATCTTCTTGACGTGGAGACTTTGAAGGTGGTCGATATTGCTGACTAACGACCACGTCCTGTACCTCGGACCTTTCCCGCTCCCGCTCTCTATCTGTACTTCCCTTTGTATCAGAGACCTTAATACCACTTAAATCCATCTTCAGACCAGAATCTGTCCTCACGGTCGAGGCATCACCCGAAGTCCGCGCCCTCTCCTGGGAACTACGTTCCACCCCACGACCAGAGGAAGATTTTGCAGGCGTAGTTCCAGCACTACCATTTGTCACAACACTGGAGGTGCCAGCACTTGACGGCCGTTGTCGTGATCCTGAGTTCTCATTGCCACGAGAGGCCTCTGAGGTTTGTACAGACGTGCTGCTTGGTGCCGCACGAGTAGTATCATCCCTTTGGCTTTCAGATTTAGCAGATCTGCTAGAAACACTACCAGTTCCTGCTGGGCCTGACAGACTGGGACGCCTGGGTGGTCGCGCAGCCTGAAACTTTAGCAGTTAGTTCGAAAGTAATTACCAAGTACGCACTTCGGGCAACGTACTTTGAAACATATATATTCAAATAATATTCTTTACAACGGTGAATTAATACCTCTGCGTCAGCAGTGACAGATTTCGCTGGTTGCTTTGTTGAAGGTTCCTCCACCTTCACACCTGTGGTCGCAACATGTCCAGAAGCAGCGCGGGCAGCTACTTCTGGTCCGTTTCTGCCTGGAGCAGTTGTGGAAGTCCTCGTAGATGCTTGAGGAGCACTTGTTAGATGCACAACTGCTGGTTTTGCTTCAGAAACTGAGTTATGAGTAGAAGGCTTTGAAGCAGGTGAGGGTCCCCGAGGCTGCTCACTCTTAACTGGTGGTGCACTGGTGTTTTCGTGGCGCACGACAGCAGGAACTGATGCAGCTTGAATTGGTGGCAATATTGGTGGATTGGGCATATCAGTACCCATTGCAGCGTCCACCGAGGGATTCCCAGAGCTTTTTCCAACAGTTACAGTAGATGAAGGCTCTGACGCAGCAGCTGAGTTGACGAGTCCAGAAGACGTGGCACCAACTGCAGCCTTTGCTGGGGATGACGGGGGTCTAATATCGAGAAGACCCATTGTAAAATCATCGTCTGATACCCACGAATTCTACACCCAAAAGAAGGAATTTTCAAATTAATGAGATCTATAATTTGTCTTAAGAAAGCTGTTTACTCTCGTGGAATTGATGGAGATTCCTTCTTTTCAGATAATTATGGCATGATCTATGACTTCAATTACTTAGTAAATAAAAGAGAGCAATTATTTCAGTTGAAGAAATTGGACAAGCATAGTAGCTAGAATTCTGAATAACAAGAGGAATATTGGGACTTCCGGACTAAGTTTCACATACCTGTGAGCTTCACTGTATGAAAAGAAAAATGCTAGTTAATGCTCAACGTTATTTACATTGTATTATACTAAAACATCAAACATGTTGAATACAAAAACTCGGTTTCCAATTTAGAAACAGTGAATAAAGATTCAGAAAGCAGACCTTTCGATGCGCCAAGGCGGCAGCTACGCCAATAGCTAGAACTTTAAGATCCTCCCTCTCATCGCTTTTAATCTTGCTGACCTGGAAAATGTAAAAATGTGTAATTTATGAAGACCTGGCTCCGAACAATATATCAAGGAGTAGATTTGCGAAAACTTTGAAAAAAACTACCAGCTGCTTGATAAGCTTTGAATTACCCTCTAATGCCGCGCTGGACAAGTGACAACCACCCCGTTGATACATGTCATACACCCACTAGCAGGCAAGTCTAAAGAACCGACTTGGAAATCCAACAGAAAACATATAGCTTATCCCGTATCCTTCTCACTCTTTTCTCAAGGTTGATTCCACTCTTCTTGGTAACAGGAAATACACTCGACAGTTTGGTAAGAACTGTAAGGGCATTCCGGATCTCCATGTAGTCAGATGATTCGAGGCACTGAACCAATAACTTTGTCAGACGTGAACTCCATTTCCAGTGAATCTGCTGAGCAAAAACTCAAATTAGCATTTGGAAGACCTAAAATGATAGGGAATGAAAGAAGGATATAGCAAGTTCGACATCTGTATTACATGCCAAATTCGCGGCATGTACTACAGCAAATGAGTGCGACAAATTATGACGTTTTCGTTGCGTGATAGACCTTCATTACGACAAGAGGAAGATGCCACAAAGCAGGGATTAACGAGAATTAGAAAGATTTCCATCAAAGGACCATTAACGATTAGTCTAGTGGTCACTAGCAGTAAAATAGAAAAAGTGACCTGTTTCAAAACGGTAAGAGATCATACCCGAACAAACTGCTGAAAGGTCACCCGTGCACTGTTCGGATCCCTGTAAAGAACGGCAAAACCTGGCATGTTTCCGCATTCCCGTTCATATGTTGACTCCTCATTCTACACAGGCCAGATCAAATACTGAGAGTCTAATGTCCCATATAAGCTCCGTCTGTGCACATTCGAAGGCAAAATCAGAAGAAATTTCGGTAGCTCGTCCATAAACACTATTTTAAGGGTAGAAATTGAGTACCTTCCAGTGGTATGCCATTTTCAAAGTTTCGCACAGAAACCTTCCAAGCCTACCAGCTTCATACTCCGTGCAGCACGATATCATGGGTTGTAACGTTTTACAAATCAGAACATCAATATGGTTGACGGTGTTGAAGTAGGGGGTTCCGAGGGAGTGCAATGTGTGTACAAATCGAGCGCAGTACACTGCATCCATCATGCTGAAAACACACCTTGGAAAAATGCATCTCTGCAAAAACTCCATATTGGTTTTGAGAAAGTCTGGACATGAGGTAAGCCATGAGTCTTTCTCCCTCACTAAGCGCTGATGGACAGTCGTCACGTTTTGCTCTTGTTTCTGCATTTCAGCAGATAGACGATCAAGAATCTCTTGAATCTTCTCCTTGTCTTTCTTCCGTTTCGCCACGGCTGCATGTGAGCTATCTGAATTCTCTTCAAGAATCTTCAATGCTGCACGCTGTTTTGCCATTTCTGTTTCGTATCTCTTTTTCGGAACGTATAGATCATGTAAAGTCAGCCCCCAAAAGGTGGCATAAAGTTCCGGAGAAAGAGACTGCCATGCCTTCTGCGGTAAGATGGTCTGCACGGTCTGCAGAAGATCTGACCAGCTGGAAGCAGAATAAGATATATTAACTACTACAAAACAAAACAAGCACGCCTATTACAAAATAATAATGATGGTGCCAATCTACAACAACATGAAGCTTTATTCCTTGATGACAATCAGAAGGCCAAGGTGGATCAACAAACGAGAAATTACCTCAGGGATTTCCGATTTGGTCCCAAGTCTAGCACCAGATCAACCGATATCTTGGATGCTCCACTGTCCTTACTGCCATCTACTTGCACAAGACTTTTGTAAGTGTCGGCCGGCCACGACGTTGAGGAGCCCTTATGGGGCTTAAACAACCGCATCACTGGTCTGTATATCAAAAAAGCTACCTGCAACCAATACCTCATACACAAGAAATCAAAGATTAGGAAACATGACATGCTGCACAATCAACTGCAGCATGCATACATCCATGCATGCTCTAATTATCAGGTTGTCGAATTTACACTTAGAACTGGCCATACGACAAACATTCGGAAAGACAAACCTTAAAAGAAGACCAACATCGGGTGACCGATCACCAGGGAGACAAGGGTGAGGGTGTTCAAACCCAGTAATAGAACACCTAAAACGCAAACAATTACTTCCAAAGACCTACTATCCATAAGGTTTGACAGGAAGAGACAAAACCTCTGGTTCAATGTGGTACTTGTGCACAAGGTCATCCAGTGGAGGAATGAGCTGTGCATACGCTGAAACTGGCGAAACGGCACTGGTAAGAAATTCCACATACTGGAGCAGAGTGCCATGACACCTGTCGAACTGCTCACTAACCAGCTTTATGTAAGGAGCATTTGCATTGACCACCACACTGGAAAACAGATTAAAAATCTCCTGTCAACTTTTCAGTCTTTGCATCCCAATAAACCTTCAAACTACACCGGTTATATTTCCTTATTGAAAAATACACAAGCAATCGAAATAATTCTTATATGGACAGTATTCTACATGCAGACAATCTACATGAACGACAAACAATGTGTATATCTTCAAGGTAGATTCACATAATTGATTATGATTTTGTACTCATTTTCAACAAAACTTACTTTGTTCTCTGTTGAGCAATTAGGAGCAGTAAGGGAACCGCAAGCTTCGGTTCATCTTTGGAGAATAAAGAATCACGCAAGCGGTTTGTCGACTTCATAAGTGCCTGCGCCCAATCATAGCGGTGGCATTGTGAGAGGCGCTTGAACATCTCAAGAATGAAGCAACGTCTCACAGAGGAAGTCCACGTCAACGCCCTTCAACACTTTCTTGGAAAGAATACTTCCTAACTGCCTTAGACTCTTCGAGACCGCCGCATGCTTACTGTAATTTTATCCTATATCGTTCTTCCAACAGATAGTTTAATTATAGAAGGTTACCCAACGTTCTAAATAGCTCCAAGTTTCTTACAATATGACCACAGAATGTTAAGGTCCCTATATAACTAGCAATATATGGACACGGAATGATCGTCTCGAGGTTGCGATATGATATCAGAAAGAGTTGAATAAAAGTTCACGGCACGACTATATCTCCTCGCAGGTTATTACAAACCCCGTGTCTGCTTGTAAACAACTTCACATGAAAATACAAGCCACTAGGAACACTGAACAGCCGACAACCTCACCTTGTTATTCCTCGTTACGCCGAATGCAGTGGCTTGAAAGCGCATAGTCTCTCCTCCAGCCATTGCCTCTAGCTGATCCTCCGTGACGTTTTCAGTATACTCCACACTCGCCATTTGCTGTATCAATTCCTGTAGACCCGCTCGAATGACGAGTGTTCGTTGTCAAGTAGCCTAATATTCTTTACCTAATAAAGGTTGAAAACGCATAGAAAGAAACCATTTCCCCAACAACCAGGCAAAAAACCATGTTAGCTTACCTGTAAAAGTACAAGCTCTATTCCTTCCCCTTTCTTGAGCTGATTTACCAGGTATTGAAAAAGACCTCTTAACTCCATTGAAGGATATTTTTTACATCTGATGCAAAGCCGATTCCCACATACCATTAGCATCAGATCCTTTCTTAAGTACAAGCACATATTAAAATAACACAATCAAGCCAACTTCACCATTTGCTAGCTTTCATGTAGTCTGCAAGAAATCCTTGTGCCTGCATTAGACGAATAAACCCATCTACTTCGGTGAAGGAGGTAGGCTAAGTTTCATATTATAAGTTTGAGAATCGAATATAGATGATCGATAACATTGCATCTGATCAACCGCGGGAAGATTAACATCCAAGGGGAACAACACATCTTCGAACTGGGTGGTTCCCCTCAACGGTGCCTTCTAGATGGTAGCGAACGGCTGGAAGCATGAAGAAAGAGCAAAAGGCCGAAAAACTCTTGGCTTTTAAGTCCACATTTATGTGCACTTTAAAGCCATGATAGGTTTTAGAGCAACAGAAAAAGAATGAGAACATCAAAGTGAGCTGACTTCATGAGAGCGGATCCAAATGGATATAAGAGGTGGAGCTGTCTGCTCCACATCTTATACTCATTTGACACTGTAAGAAGTGCTTGACAAACATACATGTCCTGGGTCACAACCGAAAACTTCCCTGTACATCACTTTAAAATATTCACCTTATGGTTCACAACTGAAAACTTACAGGTGACCCCAAAAAGAGGCAAGGGACTGTAACCAATCAGACACATTAAGTCCATCCTCTTTCAGCTTTTCACGGCCCCCTTGCGCCAGCCTCTCTATCACAACATACTCTAAAACATCGTATTCCAGCTGCAACGGCGAAGTTCAAATGATCAATAATAAAGTGGAAAGATGTGTGCAAATCTGCCCAGCGTTTGCAAGGATCATATAAAACTTAACACGGATCACCTGACAGGCAAGTATAAGTACAGATACTAGTATTTGTACGATCTGAAAAGATAATCAAAAATTCTAACACTGAATGTTTAAACAATCAAGAGTATTGATAACTTCATAAACGAATGAACATAGGAACACTGCCCTTAGACCTTCCTGTAGTGAAAATCAGAATAGGTAACGTACTTGAGTAAGGTACTTAAAAGCATCCACCACAGGTGCAATCATATCCTTATATGCTTCAATCTGCATATGCGTGGGATATGCCGGCAGTTAGACATCGGTTTCATCAAGATAGAAGCACTATGAAATGTGCGCAAATAGAATTATTCTGCAGATTAAAACTCCACCGAGAAACGTTAGGCCTAAGTAAAAATCTTCAGAAGTTACCTGGTGTACGATCGTCCGAAGGACAGTCATAGGGTTAGCGTGTGCAATCTTGGCCACCATCCTTCCTAATTGCTTCAAGTTCTCCTTCGCAAGCCTTTTCAAAATGCGCCTTGTGTCTAGCTGCAAGTTTATTGTCATCAAAAACAAACTCTACTCACTATAATAACACACTGTTGAAAGAGCATGACCTACAAATGCTGGCAAACTTGATTTCCGTGGATTCGGCCATGCATCTCACATCAAATCTCTAAGCATCGTCCCTTGAGGATAATCATGAAGGAAATCTCCAAATTCCAGCTTACGCCATGTACTTTCTTCGCTGAAAACTGGTAAACTCTGCAATCTCCTACCAGATTTGGAAAGTTCCTTTCCTTTAACAGGTATCAGAACTGGCCATCATCGACTCAAACAGATTGAATTCCACATCGTCTCAAGAGATGGTGCACAATTCAACAGAGGAGTTCGAATCAAGCTCCACCCGCACATTTTCGACATCTTGGTTTAAATTCACAATACAACATAGTCTAGTAAGACAAGGGAAAGAGAAGACATATTTTGAGGATTAGTCAATATTTCACCTTTGCGGTTTGACGAGCTGCCAAGACCATCGGGATCCGCTCATCTTCCTTTTCCCACTCACCGTACAGACGATATCGTGCCTGTTCATATAAGCCCAAACAATACTTGTTTTATTTAAAACACTAACAAATCTAATGCAGGTTATAACAGTTACGAATGATAAGTAACATTTATCGATGAGCGAGAATTGTCATGAGGCAACAGAAATACAAGCTGCAGAGACCACATAGTGCACTGTAGAGGACTGACAACTGAAACACACAAACAACCAGGAATGACAACATGCATAACTGTATTAGGCAGACCGTGCAATTCCGAGCAAGAAGACCACAAAGAAGAACGGACAGACCTCCCAATCTAAGAGCTTTAAAGCTAGCAAGAACAAATAGAACAGGAGGTCCTCGAGTAGTGATTTTAACCCAAGAGCCATCGATTCGGAAGTAGAAGACTACACGTAATTGCAGAAATAATCAAAACTTCTCGACATTTGAAAATAGGAAATTAAATCATAAAAAAACAGATATCAATTGACACGATTTTAAAACTCAACCAGCGCACCAGTAAGGCTCGGCATGTGCATCCACATCTTTCACGAGAATTAAAGACCTTCATCTCATAAAAAGACAGCAGCTTTGAGCTTCATAAAGCACACAAAAGCACCTGCATGGCAAGCATACTGGCTGTAAAGATGAGATCAAGCTGAGGCAAAAAATCCAAGTTACCTCGTATGGCAATAGACTCATAACATCCCATATTTCTATACCAACAGCTGGATTGGCGGGAAGAAGCTGCAGTGAAGGCAACAGACATGAGCCCAAAGCTTCTTCCACTCGAAATCGGGCTTCCTTCAGGGCAAGTTTCGCATCTTTCCGGTCGAGGTCCTGTGGATCGTGAGAATTTGAACTTGAACTAACTACGGCCAGGGCAGATGAGTAGTAGCCTTTCAAAACTCGACAAACCTGTACCAATTATCGATCCATCCAATATTTAGTACACAATTTATGTAAAACTATCGATTAATCTAAACAACTAGCACGCTCCGATGAAAGGAAACGGAAATTCTAAACGAAATCTCGAGTTGTAGATTCAGTTGATTGTAAATCATTCGACAACTGAATTGCAGTACCTTCTGTAGAAGCAACACATCGCGATGAAGATAAGGACCAATACAAGAAAGCATTTGAAAGAACTCTTTTTGGAGCTCTGAAGCTGTCGAGGCTGACCCCATTGTTAGTAATTTAGGGTCTACGCTAATTGGCCCGGCTTCATGGACCTTCCCGCGAGAATTTAACTTCGACAAATACCCTGGTCTGACAGTTGCATAATAAGGAGCAATTGCCTTCTCGATAGCCCTAAGATACAAGAAACACCAAATATCAGCAATCCAGATTATCTCTTTATCAACCCCATGACTTTCAGAATACGGATGATGCATGGCTACTTGCTTGTTCGCAGGAAGTTCAGAACAAGAGCAAACTAAAGACTCACTCTCACTGGCCACCAGCTACAATAAACTGACTACTCAGCAAGCCTAGCAGAACAATTCTGAGGTCTAATACAATTGCGAAACGTTTACTTGGATTGGTTCGAAGCAAATAGTTCAAAAAATACAACACAAAGTTAGACAAAGCCCTTATTCGATCAAAGACCTAAATAGAGAAGACAGAACAAACTCACCTGGATAAACCCTCACAAATTTGTGGGTGGGCGACGGGGTTCAATGCAGCCAGGCGTTCAAAGAGAATGTGAGCATGTGCCCTGTAATGAGCACATATTGAACATAAACTTGTTCAGTCACAAGGCTTTCAACCAACCTCCGAAGTGTACTTTCAGATCTTCTATCCTCTATCCCCTTACTCACTGACTTAAAGTACAGCCTATGCAAGGTCAGCCAGTGTCGTTTATTCCACATTCCCGATACATACACACACACAAATAACTCACCAATCGTCAACCACAAGAAATCCATTCAAAAGTCCCAGTTTTTGATTCGTAAACAATTCTTTGGAACGTTCGGCGACTGCTTCGGTCTCCATATCCAAAGCAGCGTACAGGTAGATGGTAACATCACCAGGCTTTTCTTCTTCCATCAAGTCTTTTCCAGTGGCAGCAAGATTTATTTTGCCAATCTTGTTTGCCTGCAACAGAGAATACAATTGGTCCTCAGAAAGTAAAATTCCAAGAAATACCATACATGATGTACATACAGAGTTTAGCTTTGTCACGAAGAGGATAACCTGAAAGGAGTATCTGACCTATGACATAACTTATGCAAGGGAAGGTGTGCCCATAAGTTCACAAAGTCCACGAGAACCTCTCAACAGCATTAATGTTGAAGATTTCCACCATCAACAACGTACTCAATTCCTCAACACTCTTAAGAAACACAAACAGAGAGATTTAGACAAAACCGGTGAAATACACAAAGAACTTAACAGATGTTTCCAAGATTTCCGTTTTCAACGTGGAACGATTTATCCTCTTTTAAGTGCTCTGTTCACTTAGATGGATAACCTGGAAACTCTACGAAGCAGAATTTGAGAAAGAAATTCAGCTTTTTCTCATTAAATACCTCGTCTATTCGTCTCTTTGATATTTCTTCATACTGCTCCAATGCATCTTCATCCTTCGGCAAAAGGTGCGCGTAACTGGTTCACAGTGGGCAACAATAGCAGTAAATGTCGCGGATAGCTTACATCATGCATAGTCAAAACGAGACAACTTTCACATCTAGGACTCACTAAATTGAAAAAATTAATAGAAGTCTCATAATATCCCCCAATCTACTATTTCGGAAGATACGAACTTATAACTCAACCGGGAGTTATGACAAGAGCGGGCATAATCGTTATACGTACATGCTATCGAGGTCGATAAAGTCTTCCTTTATAAGAGTCGCTGCTAATCTGTACAAACCAGTCGGGACTGGATCTTCGACCTCGGTGCGCTGATAGTATTGAAACTTGAAACCAAGAATGTGTGATGTATGTGACTGTTACATAACACTAATGACTTCATTAGTTATTCCCATATATTTTTGTTTTATATACATAGCAAGACCGAGTACAAGTCTTAAGTACGAGCGGCGGGACTAAATGAACGTGTGCCCGTACAGTAAAGTTCTGGTATGACCTGTAGATTAGCAAGATCATGGAATAAACAAACTATATGCACAGATGCAATAAATATATTGAAACCTACTTGAAGGAAACTTATGGTATGACGTGTAGATAAGCAAGACCCTAGTATGAACAAACTAAATGCACCTATAAAATACATATACTGAAACCTACTTGCAGGAAAGATTATGATGCAGTACAGTCCGATGCTGGTTGAACGAAGGGGGGAGAAAGCTAAACATAAAGTGCAAATAAAGTTCATGCAAATTCGGAACTGAGGAGAAACAATGAAGCAAATGGAGAACCATGTTAACATGTATAATGAACATACCCAGGAAGGTTTGTGCAAGCTTGAGTTTCAAAAAATTTAAATAGAGATCCAGAAGCCAAGGTCAACGCAGAAAGTGAAAGGGTATAATCCGCTCCCGCAAAACATTATCTTATATATTTATGATACGGATAAATTATATACAGATTATATACGTTGTGGTCTATTATGTATATATCATATACACAACTAAATATCCAATACTAAGACTTATGCATATTCAACAAAAGTCATGTGAGAATCTGACTTTTATTTAACACTCTGGCATTTAAGGCGATTTCCTTAAAAAGTCAACGAGAGTCCAGATAGAAGGTACTTCTAGAAGATATCTTCTAGAGCTAGACCAAAAGAATTAAGACAATGATCACCAATAACTACAAGCATGAATCTGAAACCGGAAACCAACTCTACCTTTGGGAAAAGAGGTATAAGCTCCAAAAATGCGGAATTATCAGGCTGCAACTCAAAACATTCAAGAACCTGTAGGTACAACCCCTAAAATCAGTACCACGAGACCTGAATCTCAGCAACAGACAACAAACAACAAACAAAAAATCACATCATAGAAAATGGCTTGACATGAAACCTCAACATTAAATACTTCCTGTGGCGCGAGTCAAATTTCACGCCTAATACACCTAAAGCTCATTGGAAACAAACAGCACATTAACACAAACCCGTTGGTAGTTGGATAATCGAATGAATTGTGCTAAGATGCTGCATAGCATAATGAAGAAACTTACTATGTCGAAGACGCGATTCGGATCTAGATCGAAATGTCCAATCAGAGACTGCGCAATCAATCGTAAGTTATCAAAATCTTCTCATATAACCTTTCATTCAAGCAAGACACCTCGCATGCTCTTGCAAGACTGACATTTGAAAATGTCAGTCTTGCAATTCCTTATTTGAAGGATGAGCTAGAAAACATGCTTGATTGGCAAACATAATGTCAGATGATCAACGTCCTTAACTAAAAGAGATGTCCCAAAATAAATTTATGGATCATACTTCTTCGGGAAGTACACAATGCGACTGGATATGTTTGGTTAAAAAGGTTCTCGGACCAATACATTACGTACCAAAACTCGTAATTATGAATATCATCGTAGCAGTACGTCGGCATACCTTGATTGTGCTCACAACTGCCGTAGAAGTTTGCTTTGTCAAACCGTCAGGTCCTCGTTGACAGAGAAGAGTCAACTGTAATACATTAACTGTGCTTATCAGTATTTGCGTATCTTAGCCTGAAGGACATAGAACCCGCGCCCTGGCTGAGAGGTGCTGGTAGCAAAGACTGGGGAAGAGAAGATAAGTCAAAGATGAAGGGGGAGACGGAAGAGGGATGACTGCTTGACACGAACTGCACTATGAGATAAGAAATATATGATTGATTCTTACATATGTAACCCAAAGCTGGACACCTTTTCAAATAAAACGGATTACATACACGCCATCTAAGAACATGTGCTGATAACCACGCAGAGCAAAAGTTGAGAAACCATGCATACCAGCTTCGCATATCCCTCGCTTTCTTCCCGCAACAAATTGAATTTGGTTTGTTGATAAAGAAGTCTTGTGTTTACCCTGACCTGAACAACCCAAAGTCGAAGCGAACCTATATAAGCTTCAGATGAAGACTTCAACCTCTTAATGTCATCATTTAGCTGCAGTTTGCTATAGCATACCACAAACTCTATTCCATACAGCTGCGCTAAGTCGGAATGAAGTATGCTTTGAGGAGCTGCAGAGAATTAGATACAAAGTTCCACGACAACGCTTAAGCGAAGCTGTGAATTTTAACTGTCAATAGTTATCAAACAATGCCGAAGTTTCAAAAAGCCACCTCTTTCGATTTTAACTCATTTGCCTTGATCCTGATCATTTCCGCTTCCCACAAGAATTCTGCCTGTAGGAATAATAACAAATATGAAATTAGAGAACCGTAGACACATAGAATGTACAAATATTCCGAATTAAACATATAGAATTATTTATATGGTTATAATACAGATTTCAAACTGCTAAAAAAATACGAGAAAACAAAACGAAAGATTGTGTACATGCTGACCACAACGGGCAGCCAGTTTGAAACTTTCTAAGCTGTAAAAAGAGAAGTATAGGCAAATGCACTCAGCAGAGATTTGTGGAGCCGCAAGTTTGAGTTCAATTACCTCGCAACGTTCTTGTAGGAGTCTCATTGGTACAAGGTCTATTTGCACCAGCAATTTTGCCTGCACAAATAGTCGCAAACAAAGGGATAAAGAACCTATATTTGCACTCTAAGAGTTGCGAAAACCTTACTCGGCTGTAAACTTGTGAAAACTTAATTACTCCCTACATACATGTTAAAAGACATAGAAGATAATTTCAGCACTCAAAACAAATCCATTGACTTGACAATTCTTTCATCCTGAAGACGAAAAAATTAGCCAAAAGCATTAACATGACTCTTCCAGCAACATACCAAGTTTGATGGCACAGTCCGGATCAATTTTAACTAACAAGAAATTATACTTGACAAATATCGGAAATGCTGCCCAACTTACGAGTTCTATTAGACGGGTTCGAGATTCTCCGGGGAGTGTAAGCTGAAAGATTCAAAATGCATAGATCAGCAGTTTACGATGACAAACCACTTCAATACCAAGAAAATGCACGGGGTTTAATAGAGACGATAATAAGAAGAGCAAAGCTAGTCGGACCATCACTTCCCAGAACAGAATTTAACCTCATGGAACAACCTCACAGTAGGTCAAAACGTACGTAGATATTCCACGATGTCAAGATACTAACAAATTACAAACATCAAAGTCCGTTCGACTATCAATGTGGAAATGGAATTCCCCTCATGTTGCAGGCAACAAATCACCTCTTGTCCCATGTGGGCAATAGTGTCTGCGAGAACTGAAGAAGTATCCTCCTTCGCTGCGTGATCTGTGAGCCCTACTGCATCCAAAGCCAGCCGACATTTCGACTGTGGTAGTTCCCCTCTTATCTGCACACAACAAATGAAACACGCATGATCAACCGCAATGGCAAAACACGCAAGGACACCGAAGAAGACAGACCCGGGAGGCACAACCATAGAAGCTCTATCTAAGATATTACACAGATGCATTGGAAATGCACGGCACAGCATCCTGGTGAGGAGATCGACGGATTCATTTGACAAACATTCACCTAGTATCCAGATCAAAAGCCTGCAAATGCTTTGCGAGAAAAAGAAGCAGGCAACTACAGTCCACGGGATGAATGGAAGTGTAAGAAACAGAAAATACTCTCCATACTCTCCAAACCTTTATTGTATAAACTCACAGAAAAATGTAACCCACGAGTCTTTATCTGAATAATCACAAACTGGCGACTGGCGAAAGGAAATTCCTTCCCTTTGAACCTCGTTTCCACAACAAGCCTCACACTCTAAGTTATATAACCAAGTCCATAACGAGTGACAGTACAGAGCCAAGTCCGAATAGGTTACTGAAATATCACCTCGCGAAAAGACATAATGTGGCCAGCATTGAAAAGTCAGTTGCCCATTCCAACTATGATGTATCATCATTCTTTTGGTATGATTCTTCGTGTCCTTTGGCAAAATGAGGCTACGTAAGTTTCTCCCTCCCGCTGTATTTAATTACAAAAAGCAAATTCGGGTACTATCACTCGACTGTTATCAAGTAAGATGTGCTCAGTTTAGCATCATGTCTAAAATATAGTTAGGAAATCGAGTTCAGGAAGAGTAAATGTCCGTACATTTACTGATCAAAACCAACAGATCTGTAAAGCTCCACTGGGATTGCCAACATAATTCAGGGCTACAAAACAAAGATTTGACTACATCATGAACTGATTGATTTTATGGCTTTCTGAGTTTTCATTATTTCTACTTATTTCTTCTTACCCCTTAATACCACGTGATAGGACAAGACAATTCTAATAAATAAATGCGCCACTTAATGGTGGGTAAGAATTCATTTAGTAACATGAACTAAAATGACTGGCGCAGAATGCTAAAGCAGAGCATGATACTCATATGATCCACGTATACTCCAATACTTTTCCGGCACCATGGACCAGACGAGGCAGCTACTAAGTACCTGCTAAATGTCCGAAGCGGTACAAGATGAATTTGCACCCTTAACCAGAAATGCCATCATACTGATCACATCTGCAAATGGGTGGCGACTAATAGGTTCCATGATTAGGTATCCAAGTTTCCTTCCGGAAGAAATTTTCTAGGCCCGTGCTTCCTATATTGCTTATAGGAGAGTTCCGAGAAAGGTCAGATGATGGGTCGTGCGTAGTAAAAGACTACAAACAGACTCAGATTATCCAAATACGAATCTGTCAACCTTTGAATGGTCTGCACCAGCTAAAACTTACCCCTCGCTACACAGCTGCCTCCAGAATCAAAACCTCAATATTTTCCTACTCATTGGAAAGCCCATAAGGAACTAAGATTTTTCAATTGGTCTTCCATGAGAGTAGAGCCCAGTCCTCGTTCATATATAACCGTGCATTTATAGCAGCAATGCTAGACTCTACATGAGAGTGCTCATCCCCGCCATACTTGGTCAATTTACAGTACAGCCTTTGTTTTGCAACCAGACACTTAAGCTTCTTTCGTATGAATTAATTCCCAAGTGTCTGAATTGCGTCGGTGTATGAAAATGCAGTCACCCCACAGAAAATCCATAAACCGGCGTTAGCACCGTGCGCAATCTGACCCTGCTTCTTCCTTTCGTCGATACGATTTGTCTTTACACAACAGGCACTTAATTTCTTCCGGTTCAAATGACGTACTTCGACGTGACAAGGTTATTGAGAATGAACATAAGGAGAAAACAAGAAATTGGGCTTACCACAGTCCAGCAGAGCTCGTACACGAAGCGGGCAGGTGGAACTTCTATGGATAGCTTACGAGCGCTGTTATTACTCTTCCACTCCTTCACGTACTCTTCCGTCACATACTTGCACTCCAAGGCTAACACTGCCATCCTGCTTCAGTCCTGATTCTCCCACAAGAAACAGAGAGAAAAAAAAAATCTCACATTATATTGCAAATCGATCGATATATACAAAAATCCGCCGAAGGATCCTGCCCGTGCCAGATTTCGTTCAAAGTGAACATCGCGGCCCAATCTCCCTCTCTATCTCTCTGTCTCTCTCAGACCCGTCTCTTCGGAATTTTTGACCTCACTTCCAAGGCCTTGGCACGATGTTGACGATGCGTCGTTTGATTCATCAATTTCAAAAATTTAGATGGACCTTTCCTTCTATCCTCCTCATCGTCTCACCTCCTCCAGCCCTGCGCTGCTTCCCTCTTTGCTTTCTTTCTTTTGTTCTCCGGTTGCTCCCCTACACTCTCCTCCGCCGAAATCCCCTTCGTTCGTCCCTCCCTACCTTCCCAGTTTTCTTCGTTTCTCCGCTTCCAGTTCCTCTTCCCCCACTTCCTCGGGCGGGACGGGATTCCTCCGTCTCTTCTTCGGTCGACAATTCACACTTCTCCCTGACCCCCACTGCCTCCCATCTCTCCCTCCCTTCCCGTCCCTCCTTCCTAATCTTTTCCCTCAGGGGCCAGCCTCCCTTTGTATTTTCGTCCCTTCTTGCTTCTCTCGAGGCTCCCTTCCCTGTGTCTCTCAACGAAGACCTAATCTCCTTCTGCTGACATATTGCATCTTTCTGTCTTCTCCGACAACTTTCATTCTCGGGTTTCCAAGCACATTGTCACGCCAACATGCCTCTTAAACGCTCCATCTGAGATTATAGAAAATATTCTCGATCTCTTTCGAGATCAATGGTTCTGTATTATTTTTTAAGGAACACCAGCTTGTAAGTATTCTGCTAGAAGCATTCCCATGATCCATAATTGTTCTTGAATTCGTGGTAGAAAAAAATTTCGAGAACCAGGTTATATTGCAAAGTAGATGGGAAGACCCCATCATAAAAGTAGTAACTGGATGAAGCCCAACGAGCAAGTCGTCAATCCGTCCTCAAGTTACACTTTTCATCTTGGTATACGTTCCGAATTTATCGCTGCCTTGTTACACAAATATAAAGTTTCCGTCTGCTGGTAAAGCATTAATTCTTTCGCGTTGCATTTGATGTGTCTTGTCATTCTCTATGCTATGTTACTTTCTACCCACTTTGAATGATATTAACACCAGATAAGTATTCCAGGAATGGAAGAAACCGAAAAGTTTTCTTGCATTCCTGAGATTTGAGGTTCAAGGACGGGCTTATTTTTTAGTTTCGTGGATAACATCCCATTTATTAAGCAAGTAATTTTTTGCACAACACACATTTACCAGGCGACATTTTTTGTTTCTTCCAGACGAAAATAACAGTCGATGCAAGGTAGATCAGTAGGTAGATAGACGAGCTAATCTGATTCAGTTTATTTTTGGGATTTCATTGAAGTCAATATATCTTGTTACTACAGTAGTTTCACGAACTATATGAAAGATCCAACATATGGCTAGGCACCATTAGCATCATAATGAAAAGTATATTCTATTACATGAAATAAACTCGAAATATTTATGTCAAATGGATATATCTGGATAATCACGCAACATAGCAAACAATAAAGGTTTTATCATACACGAGTATGTTTTACCCTTTAGATGAACAAAAATTCATGTCAACAACCATTACATATAGGATGATAACACATTTCAACAATGATAAACAGTTTTGCATATAGAATATATCACATTCATACGTTGTAGTGTTATCACAAGACAATATTAAAAGATATGAAAATATGTGACTTTTACTTATCTTTTGATATGGCGTATATGACTTACATCAAAGATTACTATATATTAATTCTGATGATAGATAGACTAATTTGAAACATTTTAAAGGATTCAAAGTAGTGAAAATGCTCAAATTATTTTGATCTTATTGCATACAATGTGTGATCCAAACACCAATAGCTGTCTATCAAATGAAAGTGATGTGGATATGTAAATAATATACATCATGGAACTTCACAGGTGTCACTACTTAATGCTTTTGAGATAAGTATTTAAAAGCTCCATGAAGATCACTTTTAAAACTAATAGGTTTATCACTTTGATGAAAGATTACATTCAGAAAATGATAGACTTTTTAAAATTTATAAGTTGCATCATTGTTTTTTACGATGCAGTTTGGCATTTGAAATTGTACATATTGAACTATATATTTCAACCTGTTAGTTATTCTATCCATTATATGGATTTTGGTCCATCAACATTCTTATCTTGATGCAGTACAAAATTCAAAACGGAATTCAATTAACATAAGAAATAAATCATTTGTATCGCATAAATCTAATACATGATAGATTACAAAATGGTAAAAGAAGCATAAATAGACTAAAATATTATGTGATATGATTATAAATTAAAACTGTATTGTAATGCATCTCTTTTCAAAAAAAAATATTATCTACATATTTTATATAGATTTGAAGCTTTTATATTGACTACATAAATTTTCATAAAAAAAAATCAATAATTTAATTTAATCTAATGATATACATTGACTCAACAAATAAGCCTAAATGTATGTGACAAATTTTATGGGTAATATTTAGAGTTGTAGTCTCTAATGATATGTTAAAATGTTCATTCTTTTTTCATCAAATAGTCTGAACTATTATACAAATGGAACAATTATATCTTATAATATAGTTAATTTTTTGTAATAATCTATTATTAATGTAGAATAATAAAAGATAACAATCGTATTGTGTATTGCTTGCATAAATTTGGTTTCATTTTGTTATAAGATTCAACTATATATAAATATTAAAGTCACCGTTGTGGTATTTCAACGATTCCACAAGCCTGCAGTACATTTATCTGCAATCCGCACGACCTTTCTAGGGGATCGAGATAACTAATAACATGACAAGCTGTAACCGTTATGATATTTCAACGGTTCCCTAGCCTGCAATACAATTTATCTGCAATCCGAAATACCTTTACGGGATTGAGATAACTATCATCATAATATGTAATAACATGACAAGCTGTACCGTAAAGTAGCTCTAAGTGTTTTTGAGAGTTTGTGTTGAAAGAATAATGGAGGTTTTGTGAGAAAATTTATTTAACTATAAGAAAAATATCTTATGTTTATATTCATGATGAGTTATCAAAAAATCATCTAAGATAAATTTTGGTAAAAATCTTTTTAAAAATCTGAAAATGTTATTGATAAGCTTTATTTTAATATTATTAAAGATCATGAGATACAAATTTTTATTGATAATAATACATAAAATTGATAGAATGTCAAAAATTCAAAATCTTGTCAATAGAAACAAGCTAAATCTATTATTTGACTGTGTTAAATTATAGTTCACATATGATGTTTAACAGTATCTCACAAAATATAATGTCTTATTCTATAAAATAAAGTTGTATGAGTGAAATTATTTTAGTTTTCTTCAAAGAATTAAGCATGATTAACTTAAACATTACTACGTATAGTTAATTATGATTAAATTTAGCTATCAAGTCTATACTTGGAAAAATAATCATAATATTTTCAAAAATATATGACACAAAATAAAAGTGCTTATCCATATTTTTTATGTATGAGATTTTTTTAAAATTTTAGATTTCAATGAAATAATATGTTAATTTTATTTGATTCAATTAAAATAAATTTTTTCATTAATTAGACTATTTTTAAAGTTTGACTTAAAGATATATTGAAATTTGAACATTCTAATGACGTGTTGTCACTCTTACATAGAAACAAAAAAGCTTTTAGAAGATTTATATAAGTAAATGATATGTTGCCACGTAATGGAAATGAATCATATACCTAGTTTTATCTTAATCAAAGTGAATTATATAATGATTATCATGAAATATTATGATAAGTTTAGAATAGTATGTGTTGAATGATGATTGAAAAGATTGTGATTAGATAAGAACTCATAAAATAAGACGAATGCTAAGTTTGCCAAAATTAATTTAATGACAGATAAATATCAAAATGGAACATAATGGTAAAGATCCAATCCCACGAGTACAGAAACAACACAAAGAGTATCAAGTGTCACGAATTTAACATTCTATTGAGGAGTTTGATTTCTAAGGCCACTGTCACGCCCAGAAATACTGCAGGTGTTAAACTCGAAGGACACACACTGCAGCGTAATTCACACATTAATCCTAAAATTCTCCGATCCAGCATCACAGAGGTCGATCGCGACCTTGTCTTAGTATTAAGGTGGGAAAATTCTCAAAAAGTACACTCCGGAACTGCACGAAGCTTTCAATAACGAACTTGCTTAAAATCCTGATCTAGCCAATTGCTACTCTAAACATTCGAATTGGGCTACTCCCTCAGATGCGGTATCTTCGACAAACCGAAGTACCTCTCACGCGGTGACGAAACATTCAATACACAGACGTGCAGAGAGTGCAGGCTCAAAACTGAAAAAAAAAACTAAATTCAAGAATCCCCCAAGGCCGATTCCTTGGGTTCTTTTATTCCTAACTAACACAGAGATGTCACTCGCTCTGGTGCGAGCTCCGAACATGCATAACGTCCACGAAGTCGACAGCTGTCTTGCCATGTGACTTCATATCTAAACTTAACCTACGCAAAACGGCCGCCAGCTCCAACTCCAAATTTGACATTGCAGTCGCACGAACTTGTAAGAAACGCATCTAACTTCCTAGCTAACTGACGCTACCCACTAACACTACACGCTATCATTGCAGTCGCACGACGCTTCAGATCTCGTAACTGCAACCACTTCTACGTCTCGACCTGCCATAAATCAAAATCACGCAAACACTGATTCACCTTCTCGGTCAAGGCGTCGTTTGTCTTCTCCGCTAACTGTCGAATTTTCTCTTCCGCCTCCGATAGTTTCAAATCCATCTCACATAACTACTCCTCGGCCTGCGAACTTTGAGACCTCAATTCATTGCACAGAGCCTCCAACTTCTCTCTCAGTTCCTGATCCGCAATCCTAGCAGCTTCGCACTGTAAGACCTGTTATTGCATTTGTGAAATAAATCTAGAATTAGCCAAGGAGTTAATCATGGTTATGATAGTTATGACTAAGTCTAGCTAGTTTAGCTATAATGTCTATACTTGGCAGAATAACTAGAGAAATTCTAGAAGATTTGAGTGAGCACTTCTATTTTGTCTTGTACAAAAGTCTAGATTCCAAGAGAAAATACTTTTTGACTTCATGTTTAGTTTTGATTGGTTTGACTAAGTAAGAAGTACTCCATTGGCTAGACTAAATCTTATGTTGACTTAGTGGAAAGTGGAAAGTCTAGAAGTTGGAAAGACACAAATAGCATGTCGCCACCTTAATCTAGGGATAAGTCAACATCTAGAAGGTTTAGGAAGCCAATGGCATGTTGCCACATATTGATAACTAGTCAAACTTACTATGATTTATCTTTGTAAAAGTAAGTTAAATAGACATTACCATTTTTTACTGTGGTAAATTCTCAAGTAATATATATAGAAAGGTAGGGAATAGACTCTCAAGTAAGTTTGAAGAGTTCATATGTAGAGACTTGTTTCATATATGAAAGAGTGACGAATTTTCAGTACCTTGGAGTGTCGAT